ACAATTCAGTCAAGGCATCTTGCTCTGACAAGAAGAGCACATATTCAGTCTTGCAGAAGTGTAGTTCCAAGGCAGTGGGCAGTGTGGAGAAATTGTTTCACCATCCTGTTTGTGTATTACCAACAAAGAATAGCCACAATTCAAGCCTCCCATGGCAATTTCAAGCCCTAAGCAACAACTGCCAAAATCATATATATTAATTGTACTACCATGCCAACAATTATGCCAAGCATTCCCTGGAAGTGAATTTTTGTTACATTCATTACTCTTGTAGTGACAACTGTACCCATGACTTTCATCACTGGGAAATACATTTAGGTCAGCAGAATAGGGTAATTCATCATTGCTATGGACTATTTTACCAATAACCAAGTAACAATTTAATTTTCTTTTTGAAAATGCAATCAATTTATCATATTAAATAAAACAAATCCTAAGTCAAAAGGTCAAGAAAAATTTCATGCATTTTAGAGGTAGCCTTCGGGAAGATGAATGACATCTAGGTGAAAAACAAATTGCACGCATAATAAACCAATTATAGCAAAAAGGGGTCAAAGATATTTAGGAAAATTGCAATAATTCAGAAAAAGCAAATACCTGGCACAGCCACTTTGTCCTAAAGTGAACTGCTATTGATGGACATATTTTTTATTTTTTGCAGCATTTCTTTGTTTTGTTTCTAAATGATAATCCATAGTACTCAATGTAACTGAAATCTAACATTGTATACACTATCAGGCAAGAACAAGTGTGGACACTCATGATCTCACCTGGTTCATAGTTTGTGGTGCAATTATGATGGCATTCATAGAGTGTTTAGAGGCTGGGTTATTGACATTGGTCTCCCTTCTGACAATACACTGAAACATTGAGTATTAGACCTCTCACACAAATTTTATTTTTCATTTAAGACAATGATTTTTTTGTTAATAATCAAGAAAAACAGAGTTGAGAAATACTTCTCAGACCATCAACTTTGCAAATTGTCTCATATAATTGTATATATGTGTGTGCACACCATATATATATATATATATATGTATATATATATATATATGCAGCATAAAATTATCTTGCTCTTCTTAAAGAATTTTTTAGCTTTTTAAATTTTATTTAATGTGTGAGTGTTTTACCTGAATGTGTGTGCACCAAGTATGTGGCTGGTGACCATAGAGATCAGAGGAGGGGATCAGATCCCCTATACCTAGAGCTATGGATGCTTGTGAATCACCATGTTGGTACTTGGAATCAAACCCATGTCCCCTGACATGGCAACAAGTGTTCCTAACCACTGAGACATCTCTCCAGCTCCCATTGTGCTCTTTTATGCTTACAAAATGATAGTAACTTATAATTAAAAACCATGTCTTTGACCTAGCCAAAAGTTCAGTACGTAATCTTAGGCTAGTCCCCAAACTTTTCTTTTAAAATTTCCTGCTTTTGGCATTTCAGATTGAATGTGGGGTCAATTCATAAATAATACCTGGGAAGAAAAAGATAAACATCCCTGTAAAAATTGATGTTCATCTTATGCTTCTCCAGAGTATACCTGCCATACAATAGCCTATTTTGGCATGTCAGAAAGCCAAACTAATCATGAAGCCTAGTTCTCCCCATTTCAGTACCTATGAAAAACACATTTCAAACTGCAGATATTATGGTCTGAAATAGAAGTTATCACAAATAGTATCACAATTATATGTTCCCCAGGAGGAGCCTTCTTCAACTAAAACCTGCTGAGCTGAAGTTCTGGAGACATTGGGCTCTGATTTCAGGCCCTAAGTTTACCATCAAGTTCACTTTACTCTTGAGAGATTAGTAAATTTGTTGGCGTTTAGGGCTAGCTACATGACGTTTGAAAAGGAAGAGTGGACCAGATGTAGTGGTGCTACTCTATCCTCCAGCTACTCGGAGGTTAAAGAAATAGCATCAGAGTTTGAAGCCCACCTTGGGCAACTTGGTAAGACTATTTTAAAATAGAAATAAAGAGTCTAGGGAGGCATGGGAGATAGCTAGGCAGTTAAAGTGTTGGCTACACAAGCAAGAGGAACTGGGGTAGATCCCCAGAAGCAATGCAAAGGCTGGGAATCTACTCTGAAAAAGGCAAGGGAGTTCACATGTAATTCTAACCTCAGAAATATAGAGACAACCCCAGAGCAAACAGGAAGTGACACTATTCAGATCAGTAAACTCTCAGAAGACCTCAAAAACAATAAGGTGCAGGGGGATAGAAAGATGGCTCACTAGTTAAGAGCACTGGCTGGTCTTCTGCAGGTCCTGAATTTTGTTCCCAGCATGCACATGGTGGCTGACAACCATCTATAGTGGGATCTGATGCAGATAGAGCACTCATATACATAAAATTTTTAAAAAAGGTAAAGAGTCATCAAAAAATACTTTATAATATTTCAATCATCCAGGGTTTGTCATAATATGCAGCTCTGCTCCACCTATAAAGCCAGAACATGGCGAACCTCATGGATCCTGTGTCTATGTCTACAATTTGTGGAAACTGATTTCATTTTTAAAAATATATAGGTGTATTCAGAACAGCAAAGCAACAAAGATTTAGGAACTCAAGTAAGTGCTAATAGAAACAAAGTAACGCTATTTCCACTAGAGAAGAAAAAGCTTAAAGGAAGCTAGTAAATGTCAATGAATATATGAGGATGCTAAAAATTTTATAGCATAATAGTGAGGAATGATTTTTCAAGTTCACTAAATACACAGCAAATAAAGAGGGGGAATTAGATGATGGCATGTAATATAATTCTGTGTCTGAGGAAATGGAGACTGCTGAAAGGAGCTTTGGAGAGAGTATGTTTCAGCATATGTACAGGACCCAGCATCTCAGCCTCAGATGCTTCTGGTGCAAGCAACCATGGCCACATGGAGAAGATGTCTTTAGAACAATGACTCAATAGTGAATATGGTACTTAGTGAGTTTGGCAATTATTCTTGCTAGAAGAAAGTAAAATGGTGAAGTTTCTCATCCAAAGGAGGAAAAAAAAAACTCTGTGAAACATCTTGATGTGGAAAGCTAGGAAATTAGAAGCACATTGTTGTTAGAATTCCTTCTTGTGGGGATGTAAGCAACATCCTCCCCTCCTCGTAACGTCCCAAGACAAACTGAGGTACAAGTCACCAAAGTTCACTCTAGAGAACCAATGAGATCATTGGGTTTAATTCCAGAGCATAATTGGAAAGTTAGTTACTGGGGTGTGGGTGTCCCCCATAATAAACAAACAAAGCCACATTAGAAAGTCTTTGCCCATCAGGGATGATGCTTTTTCATGCCCCCCCAGTGAATAATGATGCCCCCAGAAGACATGAGTTATTAAAATCTCAGAACCAAGAACAAGTCAGTGAAGCCCCCAGAGTCTCCCAAAACAATACAGGCAATTGTCATTGTTCTTGGTCACCCACCACAACTAGATGGTAAGACTCCATTTCTGAAGGTATCATACACTTGTTTGTGAGACAGAGAAATCAATTTGAACTGACCAGGAAACTCTCTCTCCCTGCTGGCTGGCTTTCTGTATAGCTCAAAGTTGCTATGAAGACTGCTGAAAGAGAAAACCACTGTTGGTCTTATCCAGCACTGTACTACTGAGATGCCAGGCAAGATGTGTCCGTTGATGTAATAGAGGCAAGATGTGTCCATTGGTGTAATATTAGCAAGAGTGTTTAAGGACATTACCAACTGCTCTCTTGATTGGATTTGAAGCCTCTCTATACAAGGGTAATCCATGCCTGATGCATGAAGTCAAAACCTATGGCTAAGGAAGTCATAAACCCTACAGGAGATTCTATTGATGATGTTTTCTAAATGATTACATTGTCAAACTGCCTTAAGAATATTTATGTTTATATCTCTGTAGCCTTTTGCTGCTCTCAACCTTGATCAGAGAAACTTCTTATTGCAGTGGGGAATGGTAAATGATGAAAATAAGCTACTGAGTACTCAGCTATAGTTAGAACAACTGTATCTACTTCCCCACCCAAGGTTCAAGGAATATCTCAGACGAATGACAGAAGAAATGAAAGAGCCAAGAGATGGAAGAGAGCTATGTCATGACATGGCTATTGCATACATGAATTCACAGCAGCTATGGCTATATACACTAGGCTTGCATAAGATCAAGCTAGTTAAAAATTCCAGGATGGGTGGAACTCCTAAGGCTACTAAAGGAAATGAAGAGGACATCCAACTATATTCAGGTAGCAAAGGCAGTTTATGTTTATGTACTTAAAATATCCAATCTCCATGTAATGTCTCTAGGAAGAAAGATTTATTTTTATTTGTGTGTGTGTGTGTGTGTGTGTGTGTGTGTG